CTCCTGATTTTGTCTCAGGTCACGATCTCAGGAATGTAAGATCAAGCCCTGCGTTGGGCTCCATGCTAGGCATGGAGCCTGCTTAAGATTTTCTCTCCCTCTCCCACTGCCCCTCTCCCACTGCTCAATCTCTCTCTTTCTCAAAAAAAAATAAATATAAGATTTTTAAATATAGTTGAGTATGCTCCTATCAGACAGACCATACCCCTAGATAACAACTATAAACACTGGACAAAATACAAAAAATAATTACTGGAAGGTAATGCAGAGTAAGCATGCAGATTATGGATGGAAGTCAATCCTTGAAATAAGGGAACGGTACATTGGTTTTCTGTTTTTTTAATGGCTATTAGCCTCAGGATGACCACATTTGATGCAGCTCAGGACTGATAAAAATTCTGATAGAAAATCCAAGGTTTTTCTAACCTGAAGAATGACCTTACAGAGTTTGGGGCAATCACAGATGCTAAAAAGTGAAAAGCAAATCCCAATAAGATGATAAAGAGAAAGACTGAATTTCTATGTATCAGCTCTGCCTAAATCTCTTGCAGACCTCTAAACAATGCAAAGCAATAACAATGTAGGTTACACTGCAAGCAGCCCAGACAAGAATAAGAGAACTGAATTGCATAAAAAAAAAAACCAAAGTTTGTGTTGAACCTAGTTAACTCTCTGTTATTAGAAACAACAGCCTGTTTCAAAATGGTGATGTAGAAGGCTCCCAAACTCACCTTCTCCCAAGGATACAATGAATCTACGGCTATATGTGAAACACCCTCTGAAAGAAATTGAGCGACTACTACCCATAGAGAAAATGAGGAAAAAAAAAAAAACACATCAAAAAGGGTAAAAGAAGCTGAGAAACAATCTCACCATAAAACCCAACTCTGGCATGGTGGCCCATAAGCGGGAGGGAACTTCCAGCTTCTCCCTAAAGAGCAATGAGTTTGAACTCCACATCTAGCACCCCAACTTCTATAACAGAAGAGACAGGCCTCTAAAACATCTAGCTGTGAAAGCCAATGGGGCTTGCATCCAAAAGCTCCACAAGGATACAGTGAATTAAGATATGGTTCTTAAAGGGCTTGCACAGACTCACTGTGGCTAACCTCCCAAGACCCAGCAGAGGCAGCAGACTAAACCAGTGTGAGGGCTGGCAGAGGCAGTGGACTAAAACCAGTCTTTTGGTGCCAATAGCCCTGATGACTTTTCTTAATAACCGTGGCCTGAAGGACAGGCTTCTAACTTAACACACATCAAGAGGCCAACTGCAATATTTTCCAGAGACCAGGGAGGTCAGCCAGCACTATCCTTATGCTCTCCCTCTGCCGCACTCTAGGATGCTAATATTTCTTAGAAAGAGCCTGTGCATACCTCTGGTGCCATCGGTTTTGTGGCAGCAGCCCAGGGAATGCCCCTTGAACACATGGCTCTGGTGGCCAGTGGGGCTTATATTCATGGATTCAACAGGATTGCAGCAAACAGAGTTCTTAACTGGCTATCACCCAGTGGCTCAGTGCAAAAGGAAAAGAGAAATGGCCATCTCCCAGTCTTCACTTGAAAAAAGTATATTTATATACCTTAAAAGCTTCTGCCTGAAGATTTACCTTATAATCAGCCTGCATGTAGGTGCTGACTGACATCCTCCCCTTCGGGACACTAACAGGTCATGACATACCTTCAACTAATGGACAACCAATAAAAACAAATAAGGCTGCTTGGACAATCACAAAGATTTGAGAGACAAACAGAAGCTAGGACAAGGTTTAATGATAAGGTTCATCTCACAAACAAGAACATTCCCTCAAGACTAGAAGAGAGTGCTATTTATCTAAGGCACAGAAACCAACACAGAGAGACAAAGAAAATGAAGAAACAAAGGAATATGTTCCAAATGAAAGAATAAGATAAAACTTCAGAAAAAGGCCTTAAGATAATGGAGAGAAATGGTTTATCCGATAAAGAGTTAATAATAATGGTCATAGAGATGGTCACTGAGATCAGGAGAATAATGCATGAACAAAGTGAGAATTTCAACAAAGACAGAAAATATAAGAAAGAACCAAACAGAAGTAATAGAGCTGAAGAACACAATAAGTGAACTGAAAAATTCAATACAGGGGTTCAAAGCAGCCTATATGAAGCAGAAGAAAGGATCAGCAAACTCAAAGACAGAGCAGTGGAATTCATCCAATCAGGAAAAAGAAAAAAAAGAAAAGAGAAGAGAAGAAAAAAATGAAAGAGAATGAAGACAGCTTAAGGGACTTATGGGACAATATCAAGTGGACCAATGTTCACATTATAAGGAAGGGACAGAACACTTATTTGAAGAAATAATGGCTGAAAATTTCCCTAACCTGGGGGAAGAAAACAGATATTCAGATCCAGGAAGCCCAAAAAGTTCCAAATAAGATGAACCTGAAGAGACCCACATCTAGATACATTATAATTAAGTGGCAAAAAGTTAAAAACAAAGTATCTTGAAAGCACCAAGAGGAAACAACTAACTATGAACAAGCAAGCCACCATAAGACAATAAGCGTATCTTTCAGCAGAAACTTTGCAGGACAGATAGGAGTAGCAAAATATATTCAAAGCATTGACAGGAAAACTGCCAACTAAGAATACACTACCCAGCAATGCTGTACTTCAAAAGTATAAAAGAGATAAATAGTTATCCACACATGCAAAAACTAAAGGAGTTCATCACCATTAAGTTGGCCTTGTATGAAATGTTACAGAGAATTTTTTAAGCTGAAATAAAAGGGCACTACTTGGTAATAAGAAAACATATGAAAGTGTAAGTCTCACTGGTAAAGATAAATAAATAGTTAAATCAAATATCTAATGTTGTAACAGTGGTGGATTAACCATTTATAAATCTAGTATAAAGGTTAAAAGATAAAATTAATAAAATAACTAGAGTTACAATAATTTGTTAATGGATACACAAGATAAAAAGACGTAAACTGTGACATCAAAAACAAAACATGGCTGGGGAGTAAATATGTAGAACTTTATTTATTTATTTTTTTAAAGATTATTTATTTATTTATTTAACATAGCGAGAGACAGCACAAGCAGGAGGAGCAGCAGAGGGAGAAGCAGGGTCCCTGCCGAGCAAGGAGCCCAATGCAGGACTCGATTCCAGGACCCTGGGATCATGACCTGAGCCGAAGGCAGACTCTTACCCGACTGAACCACCCAGGCATCCCGTAAATATGTAGAACTTTAAAATGAATTCAAACTTCAGTTGTTTTCAACTTAAAATAGACTGTATTTATAAATATATTTTATGTACACCTCATGATAACCACAAAGCACAAAGGTATAGTAGATATACAAAAGGTAAAAAGAAAAGAATAGGGGCTCCTGAGTGGCTCAGTTGGTTAAGCACCTGCCTTCAGCTCAGGTCATGATCCCAGAGTCCTGGATTGAGCCCCCCACTGGGCTCCCTGCTCAGTGGGGGGTCTTTTTCTCCCTCCTCCTTTGTCCCTCCCCTGCTTGTGCTCACTCAGTCTTTCTCTCTCTCTCTCAAAAACAAATAAATCTTAAAAAAAAAAAAAGGAAAATAATAGAGAAAATCATCAAATCACCAAAAAAAAAAAAAGAGAGAGAGCAAGAAAAGAAAGGAATGAAGGAATTAAAAAACAGCTAGAAAAAAATTAACAAAATGGCAGTAAGTCCATACCTATCAATAATTACTTTAAATGTAAATGGACTAAATTCACCAATCAAAACACATACAGTAAACAAATGGATAAAATAATACCCAGCAATATGCTGCCTACAACAGACTCACCTCAACTTTTTTTTAAAAAAAGATTTATTTATTTAGGGGTGCCTGGGTGGCTCAGTTGGTTAAGTGACTGCTTTGGCTCAGGTCATGATCTCAGGGTACTGGGATTGAGCTCCCCATTGGGCTCCCTAATCTGCAGGGAGTGTGCTTCTCCCTCTCCCCCTGCCCCTCCCTGCACTCATGTTCATGCACACACTCTCTCTCTGGAATAAACTTTAATTAAATATTTTATTTATTTATTACAGACAGAGAGAGCTCTCTATCTCCCTCTGTGTAACTGTACTCATGCATTCTCTCTCTCTAACAAATAATTTTTTTTTTTTAAGGAAACAAAAAAGAATTCAAACAAACTCCCACTTTACATCTCAGGGACCTAAAAGGAAGAACAAATGAAGCCCAAAATTAGCAGAAGGAAGGAAATAACAAATATCAGAGGGTAAATAAATTGAGACTAAAAGAACAATAGAAAAGATCAAAGAAACTAAGATCTGGTTTTTTGATAAGATAAACAAAATAGACAAACCTTTAGTTAGACTCACCAAGAAGAAAAAAGAAAGGACTCAAAGTCAGAAATGAAAGAGAAAACATTACAGCTGATATCACAGAAATACAAATGATACAAGAGACTACTCTGAACAATTATATACCTAACAGGACAAATAGGACAAACTAGAAGAAATGGAGAAGTTCCTAGAAACAAAACCTACCAAGACTAAATTATAAAGAAACAGAAAATCTGAACTGATCAATTACTAGTGTGGAGATTGAATCAATAATAAAAAAAACTTTCCAACAAACAAAAGTTCAGGATCAGATGGCTTCGCTAGTGAAGTCACCCAAACATTTATTTATTTATTTATTTAGCTATAAACCTGAATATTTATTTAGGATGTAAAGAGAAGTTACATAACAAATTTAAAAATGGAAAAGTGAATATATTCTGCAAATATTAGAAAATACAAATAACATAATAAAATAATCTAATAATATTTTTATTGACTTCCTGATACTCCTCCATAGTATTTTGGCTGCATATTCTTTGATTGCCTCTTCATATGGCAATATTATAATATTATTTTATTATATTATATAATAATATATTATATTATATTATATATTATAATATTATAATTATTTTATAGTATAATTTTATATTATATATTATTATATTATTATATATTATATTGTATATTATATTATTATAATATTATAATTATATTATATTATTGTATTATTTTATATTATATATTATTATTATATCATATATTATTATAATATTATAATATTATTTTCCATAGAGAAACTAGAAAGATAATTCAGTTTTTCCTCTAGCATGGTTGATCAAAATTTGGTTTTTTTATTTTAATTCAATTAATTAACATATAATATATTATTGGTTTCAGAGGTAGAGGTCAGTGATTCATCAGTCTTATAGAATACCCAGTGCTCATTACATCACATGCCCTCCTTGATGTCCATCACCCAGTTACCCCATCCTCCACTCCCCTCCCCCCAGCAACCCTCAGTTTGTTTCCTATGATTAAGAGTCTCTTATGGTTTGTCTCCCTCTCAGGCTTTGTCTTGTTTTATTTTTTCCTCTCTTCCCCTATGATCCTGTTCTGTTTCTTAAATTCCACATATCAGTGAGATCATATGATAATTGTCTTTCTCTGATTGACTTATTTCGCTTAGCATAATACCCTCTGGTTCCATCCACATCATTGTAAATGGCAAGATTTCATTTTTTTGATGGCTGAGTAGTATTCCATTGTATATATATACCACATCTTTATCCATTCATCTGTCAATGGACATGCAGGCTCTTTTCATAGTTTGGCTATTGTTCAACCAAACATTTAAAGAAGAATTAATACCAGCCCTTCTCGAACTCTTCCAAAAAGTGTAAGAGGAAGGAACACTTCCAAACTCATTTTATCAGCCCAGCATTACATTGATAACAAAACCATACAAGGACACTACAAGAAAAAATAATACAGGCCAATAACCCTGATGAACATAAATGCAATAATCCTCAGCAAACTATAGTAGCCCCTTTTATCCACAGGGCATATGTTCCAAGACCCCAGGGGATACCTGAAACCACACACAGTACCAAACCCTATATATACTATGTTTTTTTACTATACATATATACCCATGATAAAGTTTAATTTATAAATTAGTCACAGTAAGAGATTAACAACAATATATAATAAAATACAATAATTATAACAATATACTATAATAAAAGTTATATGAATGTGGTCTCTCTCAAAAAATGTTATTATACTGTACTGGCCCTTCTTGTGATGATGTGAGATGATAAAATGCCTACATGATGAGATGAAATGAGGTGAATGACAGAGTCATTATGATGTAGCAAAAAGGTACTATTGATCTTCTGACTACATGTCAGAAGTTTCATCTGCCTTCAAACCACAGCTGACCATAGATAAATGAAACCACAGAAAATGAAACAACAGATAAGGAGAGACTACTGTATTAGCAAACCAAATTTAACAATACATCAAAAGGATGATACACCATGATCAAGTAGGATTTATCCCTGAGATGCAAGGATGGTTCAGCATTCACATAAATCAATGTGATATACCACATTAACAAAATGAAGGGGAAAAATCATATTATCATCTTAAGAGATGCAGAATAATCATATGACAACATCCATTCATGATTAAAAAAAGAAAACTTTCAACGAAGTAGATATAAAGGGAACATACCTCAACATAATAAAGGCCATATATGAGAAGCCCATAGCTAACATCATATTCAATGGTGAAAAACTGGAGGATTTTTCTTCTATTGTCAGGAACAAGACAAGGA